TTGACTTCAATTATTCTAATTTAATTCATTCCGAATGTAATTTCAATTGAACTTACCATAATGTTTTAAAAATTCCAAATAACATGTATTCTAAGTTAATTTCTGAATCGGATACCGATAATGCTTTCAATTTACAGAATAAAACAAAATCAGAGACATATATTTCTACACAGAATAAATAGAAACTCATATAACACCTAACACACGCGTAATGAATGCAAAATTTCACCCTAATTACTTATCAAGCATTCTTAATCATGAATTTACGTAAATCAGAGGTCGGGGTTGTTATAGTAACCTCCCGTCACCACTGCCATTGCAATCGCGATCTGAAACCTAACCACTGCGATCTCTCTCTATCTCCGGCTGCGTTATTCTCTGGCGTTGTTTGCCACCGTCAAGATCGACTCATGCTCTCTCTCTTTCTCTTTGCGATCGCAATTAAGATCTGAAACCCTAACCACGGCCATCCCCCTCTCTCTCTCTTGATTTGCGTTGTTTGTCACTGTTGCGATTTGCGTTGAAACTCTAGCCACTGGCGATTGTTCACTGGCGACATTGAAACCCTAGAAAAAATTTGAAGAAAAAGATAAAAATCAATATTAATTAAAAAAATCAATATTAATTGGTATTAATTATTAATAAATTAATATTATATATTTTTGTAATGAATTAATTATTAATTGATACTAATTAATAATAATTGTTGATTATTAATATTAATTGATACTAATAAAAATTAATTATTAATATTAATTGATACTAATTAATAATTTTAGTATTAATTGAGACTAATTAAGCCATTAATTGATACTAATTAATAATTTTAGTATTAATTGATACTAATTAAGCAATTAATTGATGCTAATTAATTTATAATGAAAAAAAATTATTACAATAATACTTCCATTACATTTTTATCAAATATATCAATTTTTATATTAGTTGATACTAATTAATACTAATTATATTCACTTTTATTAATGAAATAATTTTTTAAAATTAAAACTGAAAAAAATGACAAAATTATCATTTTTATATCATATAAGGGGGAAAAAAATAATTATATAGTAAAAAGCTATTTTACATCTTATCAACCAAATATTATTCTGCTGCTTAAATCTATAATTCCACAGCTGCACCAAACAGGTTAACAACTTATGTTCACAGTTATAAGTTATAATCTATAATCACTTTTCCACAGTTCTACCAAACGGGGTCATTCTCATCATCTCAAAATATTAATTTGTTATTTTATTTTTTATTATCTTAAAATATTAGTCTATTTTTTAAAATTAATAATTAAAATAACATAAATTTTTTATATTGTCTTTCTTGTATATTTATGAACATTAATATTTTTGAAATGTAATAATGATAATAATTTTTTAAAATTAATATTTTTAAAATATAATAATTGTATTATTAAAAAAAATAAATCTTCTAAAATAAATTAATATTTTGGGACGAAAGAGTACGTGCATGTTACGTCTTATGAAATATACATAACAAGAATGTCTCGGACAACTTAAAAAATTGGTTGGCTTAAATTAGAAAGTAGAAAAAAAACACTTGTCCTTATTAGGCAAATAGTTTGAGCTTTGGTATGGATAATGATGTAATAGCATTGACTTTGTGATTTTTTATTTATTATTTGTTTATATAATTTTATAATTTCATAGATTGGAGCTAAAACTCAATGAAGGGGCAGACTTTGAATAGATATTGTATTAATTCTAGGGTTTCGCTTTTCGAGAGGTGATTTTAAGTAAAAAGTTATTAAAAAATTAAAAGGTTAATAATTTATACAAAAAAATTAAAATTTATTTTTTCTTTACTTTTTACATATCTTTTTGTAAAAAGTCATCCCAAACATATTAGTTTTTTTTAATATCATATTTTAGTCAAAAAGTTATTAAAAAAGTCTGTTCCCAAACGAGACCTAAGAATACAGGTGTTTGTTCGGATTATTGAATTAAAATAGTACACTATAAGATAAAATAAATTAAAATAGTTAATAAGATAAAATGTTACATGTAATCTATAATTATTTCACTTTTTCTTTCACAATCATCAAATAGCTACAAAAAAAAAAACCAAAACCAAAATAAAAACAAAAACAAACAAACTCAACCAACTTTCTAAATACAACTTTTGAGCTAGGCTAAAATAGGCAAAAAAATAAAATAAAAAAAACAAAAAAAAAAGTCAACTTCTCAAATAAGGCGATAATAAAACTATAAAAAAATTATATTGAAAGGTTGATATTTATTTTAAATGTGAATGACACCATAATATTTAATCCTAACCATTCATTTTATTTTATGTGAATCATTTTGTAATCCATTTTTTTTTTCTAATATTAGTCTAGATATTGATATGTATGATAATGAATATTTTATGTGTACTTATTATAAATTTAAATATCAATATTAAATTATATTTTATGTGAATCATTTTGTAATCCTTTTTTTTTTATTTCTAATATTAGTCTAGATATTGATATGTATGATAATGAATATTTTATGTGTACTTATTATAAATTTAAATATCAATATTAAATTTAAAAAAAGATTAGTTTGTTAGCACCATAAATCTGTAATTTTTATTATTATTTATTATTTATATAATTGCAGGACACGTGGCATCCTCTTATTCATTTGGAAGTTAAAAGAAGTTATAGAGATAATGGAGAATATGAAGGACAAAGTGGATGAATGGGAGGACAAAGTGGATGAATGGAAGGACACATGGCAAGACAAGAATGAAGATGGAAGAAATTGGTAGTTACTAAGTAGTTATTACTGTATTTTTTCTTCTATAAATAGCCATTAATGGCTACATTGTAAAAGATCCAGAACTTAAAATCAAAGACAAGTGATTTCAATATTTCTTGTCATTTTCCTTATCTTAGGAGTAGTTTAACATAGATTTATATTTTAAAGCATTTATTTTCAGCATTTCTATTTCTATGCATTTTATGCACTTTCTTTTCGAAGCATTGGAGTAGAGGTAAGTAATTATTACTTCGATTGTTCACTCAATCGTCCTTTTCCGTCCCTCATTCTTCTTTTAATTTTTATTTTCTCTACACTTTGACAATTTTGAAGTCCTCTTTGTTGAGGCAAAAGAACCGTCAACGCAATCGCTTGATAATTGGCTTGAATTTAATCTGTAAGGATTTTTCAATCGTTGCTGGCACGCTCGCATTTATGATTTTTTCTACGAAGGAAAATATCATAAATGCGAGCGTGCCAGCAAGGATTGAAAAATCCTTACAGATTAAATTTAAGCCAATTATCAAGCGATTGCGTTGATGGTTCTTTTGCCTCAACAAAGAGGACTTCGAAATTGCCAAAGTGTAGAGAAAATAAAAATTAAAAGAAGAATGAGGGACGGAAAAGGACGATTGAGTGAACAATCGAAGTAATAATTACTTACCTCTACTCCTATGCTTCGAAAAGAAAGTGCATAAAATGCATAGAAATAGAAATGCTGAAAATAAATGCTTCGAGATATAAATCTATGTTAAACTACTCATAAGATAAGGAAAATGACAAGAAATATTGAAATCAATTGTCTTTGATTTTAAGTTCTGGATCTTTTACAATGTAGCCATTAATGGCTATTTATAGAAGAAAAAATACAGCAATAACTACTTAGTAACTACCCATTTCTTCCATCTTCATTCTTGTCTTGCCATGTGTCCTTCCACTCATCCATTTTGTCCTCCCACTCATCCATTTTGTCCTTCATATTTTCCATTATCTCTATAACTTCTTTTAACTTCCAAATGAATAAGAGGATGCCACGTATCCTGCAATTATATAAATAATAAATAATAATAAAAATTACAGATTTATGGTGTTAACATAGTTACACGTTGCACCTTTGGTAATTTAATTTAAATTTTACTTTAGTCCTTATAGTTTTTATTTGAATAACTTGGTTCCTATATTTTAAATCTAGTTTAATTCCGTCTAAATTGAAAGTCAAAATTAATAATTTTGGTACACTTGTCAATTTTAAGATTTCAATTTGATTCTTTTATCTAATTAGAGGTTAAAATGAACAATTTTGGGACATTTGTCAATTTTAAAGGTGTATATGTAGACAAAATTAATAAAAATTTAGATTGAATGACCAAATTAAATTACTTTTAAAGTATAGGGATCAATTATTTAAATTAAAATAATAGGAATTAAAATAAAATTTAAGTTAAACTATAGAGGTGAAAAGTGTAATTAACTTTAAAAAAAACGAGTTGAGTTGGACAGGACATTGGGCCACCATTTGGGCTTACAACCGCATTATATCATCTACAATCCACACCATTGGGCTTGAAGCCCATTAATTTTTTTTTGTGTGTAGATTGTATGAATCCAGTCTCATAAGCAAACCGTGCTTAGAAAGTAACCCATACGGAGAGGGGCTTGTTTGGGAACTTCGCTATTTAATTTTTCTTGGTTATCTTAATTTGATGGGTAAATTATAAACACATTTTACTTAAATTATAAATTATCTTCTATGGTTTTAGAAAGGAAAATGTCTCGTAACTCAAATTTTGTGGCTCAAAAGTGGCTCAAATGGCCAAAACGACGTCGTTTTGGCCATTTTTATGTTGTTTGAGCCACAAAATTTGAGCTAAGTAGCGTTTTTAATAATGTTAAAATTTTATTTTAATTAATAATTCAGATAATTTTATTATTGTATAGGTGAATAGTTATAAATTTTACTTTTTTAATTAATTTTGTTAAATAAAAAATTTTGATAGGAAGATATTTGTAATTTTTTAAACCACATGAGACAATTCATATTTATTTACCCTAATTTGATTAAAATAATTATATTTAAAAATTTGATTATTATTTTTTAATTTGATAATTATAAGAAAAAAATAAAATAATTATAAATTGAATTTATCAAATTAATCTATAATTCAAAACAGCGTCGTTTTTGTTTTCTAGGCTTTGGAATGGTGTATCAGCGATTGTGACCTCCCTCTCTCTCTTTCTCTCTCGAACTCACATTCTCTCTCTACACTCTCCAATTCTTCTTCCATCAACGCGTAGATTCTTCTGCATTTTCAACACATCTCTCTCTCTCTCTCTCTCTACAGAACAATGTCTGAAAATCGCCGGCGAAAGACGCCGACGGTGGCCGCCGGAGGAGAAACTCGAGAAGACCTAGCAATGGTGTCGGAGTTGTCGCCAACCGAATCGGAGCTCGCCCGGCTTAGGCTTCGACAGCGATGGGAGTTTGCCTCCGTTCTTAATTTTTTGCATGTAAGATCGCGTTTTTGCGTTTATTTTCATGTTTAACTATCTGTATACATCTATACAAACATGTGTGATTGCAACTGTGTATGTTTATGTATTTTCTGTACGTAAGTATATGTAGGTACTTTAATCTATATAAATATCTGTATATTTTGTTTTTGTTTGCAATTGTAAATCTAAAATTTTGAGGCTTTTGATGAATGAGAAAGATAGGTTAAATTTGAAAACTTGTTAGTTACTAGAATTTTAACTGTTAACAATTTTTTAGGCATTCTCGGATAGCAAAAGAGCATGACAAAGCTTCAAGTGTTAATTTTTGTGCTTTATATAATAGTGTAGATAATATAGATGCTGCATATTCAGGTTTCTAACACATTGATTTATGTAAGTTTCTATGGTGTATGTGTATGGTTAGGTATTTGTATGCTGAAACACATGTTTGATGGGTTTCTGAACTTTGTGCAGGTTTTTGAGCCTGTTATTGAGAGTAAGATGAAGGTTTCGGCTGAAGATATTGAGACAGCTCTTATAACACCGAACAATTTGCTTGCTCAACTTCACATAATGCTTTTGAAGGTTTTGGTCTCTTCATTGTTGATGAACTGATAGTTGATTTAATTATTTAGTTGAAGTTTTTATTGATTTGTCTAGATGTGCATTAATGGATGACTATTTGAAAGTATGCAACTGTGGCATGTGTGATGAAGAGGAAAAGACTGAGAATTGAGATGTATAGGAAAATTTAACCCAATTGTGTAATTACTCTTGAAATTCTATTGTTTGTTACTAGATGATTACAGAATAACTCAGTTGAATATGTAACCCTGTATTCAGTCAATTTTGACACGATTACAGAGATAGTAGGCAGTTCTTACTCCATATCATTTTAAAAAAAGTGTTTTTTGGCAAGTGAGCTGTGTGATTTATTAAAAAAAAAATTAAAAGAATGAGATGTACAATGTCAAAGGGGGTATACCCCTGTATACAAACTGCCAAGCCGCAGCTTAACAAAAACAAAGGACTAAGAAGAATGCTAGATGTTACAAGAGATGCTTCACTTTTCAATGATAGGCCTAGTAGTTACAGTGTCCTGGACCACCTTGAACTGAGTTGCTTAAATTCAGATAGCTTCATTTGAATAGCCTTAGGCATTTGTGTGTTGCACGTGCATGCGCACGCTTGAATTTACAATGTGATTCTAGAAACATTTAAACATGGTAAGGCATTTCCTTGTACTTATATCTGCATGCATGTCAATGTTTTCAAAAGAGAGCTGACCGATGCATACTTTTTGTGTGTTTTTGACGGCTGAATACAAATAGTGCATGTGCATCCATGTTTAGCGAGTGGGTTTAAGATTAGGTATCTATTATTTGTTCAGTTTTTTTACCCTATGAACTTTAACGTTCCATGTCATTAAACTTTCTCAATTCCATTTTCAGTTTTCGTATGTTTTATTTTGATCTACTAAGTTGCAATTTGTCATTTTGCATGTGCATGCTTGCATTTACAATGTGATTCTAGAAGCATTTAAACATGGTAAGGCATTTCCTTGCACTTATATCTGCATGCATGTCAATGTTTTCAAAAAAATAGCTGACCAATGCATACTTTTTTTTTGTGTTTTTGACGGCTGAATACAGATAGTGCATGTGCATCCATGTCTGGTGAGTGGGTTTAAGATTAGGTATCTATTATTTGTTCAGTTTTGTTACCCTATGAACTTTAATGTTCCACTTCATTAAACTTTCTTGATCTACTATGTTGCAATTTGTCATGTTTATTTGCTGGGATACTAGATGAAGATTTCTTTCTTCTTTTAAATTAGGCTTCTTTATAACTGTTGACAAGTTAGATTATTACTTAACTGCATGCCACTGTGCCACATATAAATCTCTCTTCCTAAAAGTAGTTAATGAAGTATATGCTTTAATGACAATCCAACATAAGTCATTTTTTAAGATAAAGGATTTAAGGAAACTAAACCGGACAAGCATGTGTTGGTGGAGATTAAATAGAGATTTTGTTCATAATTATTTGCAAAATATGTCTTTTGGAATTGATGACAATTGAAACAGGACATGACAATCAATTGGTTTGTTATCTTCTTGTTAACGGGAGTTGCTAGTTAGATGAGTATTCCTAATAATTCCCAGTGATGAGACAAAGCAGGAAATTTTTTCCTCATTCTCAAGGTGGATTTGGTAGATACTATGGGGAGATGAGAGTGTTTAGAGTAGTGATAAGGTTCTTAATCTTTTGCTAACAGCTAAATGAATGTGGCTTATTCCCTAGTGAGAAATGAGAAACTGGTAACATACATTTATTGCAGTCATGACCTGGCCCACCATTCTGGAAGGAATGGAGTAAGGCCGGCATTTATTAATGTTTTATGGGGCAAACTAGTCATATTACTATTTTTTGTCTACAATGAAGGCAGAGAAGAGAGCCCCTGTAATGGTGGATGCAGTATACTTCTTTATTTTTTACATATCCTACCTTAAAAATCTCTGTTTGTTTTCTGTTGCTGATGTTACTTTCTAACTTTTTTTTTTATATTGTTCACAATATCACCATCATTGGCTTTTTAAGGATGCTTCCCATTTATTTTGTGAGAAGTTCTTTTTCTGTTCTCCCTTTTATTTATAAAACAATTGTTCTATTTACAGGCAAGTTGGATGCAGATACCTGTCCTTGTGCCATCAAATTCACTATATTTTTAAGTTTTTGTTGTTGTGAATCTTAATTCTTTTTCTTTTTTTAGTAACCCTTAATCCCGTAAGAAGTGCTTCTTATAGCAAGTGTTAATTATTCATCAAGAGAAAAAGGACAATGGTACTCATAAGAGTTGGTTAAGTTGCATTTGTTGGTGAACTTGAGATCTCATTGGGCAGCCTGTTTCTCTAAGTTGAACTTACTGAAGTTATGGTTGTCAAACCATAATAATGATTCGAAATCCCATTCACTGAAGCTTCTTCAGCACCTAGGTTATACACTAAGCAACTTGGCACTGTTCCCTCCTGCAGGGGGAAATACTCCAATTAAAAGAATCATTATAAATATCATAAAAGCCAAAGCTTGTTTTGATGTGTTACTCACTTGTCTGCAAAATTATGAAGCTATTTATTTTCATAGCTTTTGATGACACATGATTGTCATGTAGAATGGTGAGATTACCAAATTCTCCAAAATGTTACGAGTGAAATTTAGAGTGAGATAGTTCCTTCAGGTTGTGAGAAGTATATGCATTTCAAATGCTATGCAAATAATCCACTTAAAAGAATCGTTATATACATCGTAAAAGCTATAGCTTGTTTTGATGTGTTTCTCAAATGTCTGCAAAATTACAAAGCTATTCATTTTCTTGTTTACGGTGATGGTTACCTTTTTCATCTGTTTATTATCACATATATAACCTCACTTAAATGCTTTTCAGGGAATACCGCCAATAAGTAAAGCCTTGAATGGTTCTGATGCTTGGGTGACGGTGCTTTGCAAGAAACTTGCTATGTGGTGGCCATGGGTTGGTCATCCTAAATCTTGATTGATTACGGAGTTTACTGTTATTGCTCCTCTATAAATGCATTCACACTGTTACTATTCTTTGTCCTTTTGTTGCAGGTTGCTGAAGGGGATATTCCACTAACAGCAGCTAAGGGGTATTTTGTTTTTACCTATTGTTTAAATAGGTGTCATTCATGATGCTATGTAGACTGTAATTTGGGGCATGCTGGCCTTTTGTTGCTATTGATTGTGCAGAGAGGAGATACCCAGATACAAGGAACTTGATCCAACAATTCGTCTACTACTTTTAAAAGCACTTTGTGAAATTCGAGCAGATGTAATTATCCAACCTTCCTTTTTCTGGTCAATGTGCCCTTCTGACGGCCATGATGTCCAGAGGATTCTTTGATAGTTTCTTTTACTTTTCCAAAATTTATGTTGCTTACTTGGTACAGTTGAGAATGGGTTTCTTTTGTCTACAGCAAGATGATACAGTGTCTTATATTAATGATGGACTAAAAAATGGGACTGAAATTTCTTCTTTCCGGAAAGATAAGATAGGGGGAGATGGAAATGGAACTACATACTGGTAACTTTTTTATTGTGTATTCTGATTATAAATATGAGCTGGGCCAATGTTGTTAACTTCTAGTATGTTCATGGTAGGTATGATGGAAACAAAGTTACTGGTTATAGGCTATACAAGGAATTAAGTAAGTTTGAATCCATGCCAAAAGTTAAGGGCAAGGGTTTGCCGACAATCATTTCTGAGTGGGAAACACTTGCAACTAATCTCGAGGAATTCCGCAAAGTTGTGGTAAGATTTCAATTTGTGTTTTTTTCTGACACAACACAAGTTCTTTCAGAAACAAAGTTAGAAGAATAGCACTTTCTTTAATTCCCGAATTGAGCTTTTCTCCAAATATGGAGTTTGATAGGCTTGCCATCCCCCTCCCCCCTCCTCTGCACGCTATACAGAAATGTTCATTCCTCTCAATTATGTTTTTTGGGTAATGACAGGATGAATTTTTGTCTAGTAAAGCTAAGCTGGAGGTTGGTGTTGGTCAGACAATTGAAGTTAATGTCATTCCTGTTCTTGAGAAACTTCATAAGGTAACTCTCTCAAATCTTCTCATAGAATTGTAAATTTAATTTGTGTTGGCTTCGGCCACTGTGAATCTGATATATTATACGCTTCAGACATATCTCTTGTTCATATGGGTTCTGTGTGGTGCACTCATTCTTTCTTTCCTCAACAGAACAAAGAAAGGGCAATGAAGAAACAACAAAGGAAAGAGATACTTTCGAATGGCTTTTTTAATCCTGGGATTACTCGGTCCTGCCGCAATCGTAGGCCTGTCAATTATACATTTGGTATGATGCAAAATTTTGCTTAAATACGTGTATTTTCTGGTCCATGACTCTAAACTTTAAACCGATGTGCAGATGAGTATGACAAGGCCATTGATGAGGCTATTCAACTCACAAAGTAAGTGTTTTTTTAATCTAATTGCACTTACTGTTTATATTCTAGGTTTACTCTCACGTGACATGGCATTCTTGGGCCTTTATGCTCTTTGCTCAAATATCTTTGTCAAGTTTGATACTAAAATAAGGATTTATAGAATGAGAATGATATAGGTTTTGTTTTGAGGATACATTCGATGTAAAGTAAAACCGAACACATAATCTATTAATGTTTAAATGGAAGAAAGTGACTTGGTTTTAGTTATCTCAGAAGTCATATTTGGCAAAAATGGCAGTAGCCATGGACTGGGATGGGTTGGAATGCAATCACATCGGCCCAAGCTTAGCCTGACCTTGATAGTTCTTGCCTGCAAATAATTGAGCCTGGACCAGGCATTGATTAAAAAATAATGTATAAACATAAAGCATACCTTAACCATAGTATTGTTAATCATACCTTAAATTTGACTTTTGTACAAAAGACTGTTATTTATACATTTTATTTATCGGAATATGGCTTCTGCTACATAGACGGTGCTGAGTTTTTCCTTGTCTAGAGTTCAGAACTTGCTTCAGTAGGGTGTACCTTCTTCTATTCTCGGTAGAAAGTGCACGTCTTTGCTTTTGGCTGTGTTACCAGAAATAACAAAAATAAATATTCCATTATCTGATACTGAATTGGTATTTTTTTACCTCTTTGGTAGATTTTGTGAAATGCTTTGCATCTAATGTATCCACTTAGATTCTCGACCTTGATATCAGGGGTCCTCTTGCTGATTTTACCTTAATTTCTGGTTCAGGAAAAGGAAGACTACCGAGGAAAAACATAATAGTGTCCGTGGAAAAAGAAACAAAACTGACTCGGATGGAGGTTCGGACACAGAAACAGATACAAGAAACCATTCTGTTGATAAGCATGACTCCAATGCAAGTGACACTGAGAGCGACGAGCTTCATGGAGGTCACGATGAAGATTATGAAAAGGACGATGGTGATAATGATCAGAGTAAGGAACTAGCCGGGACTGCCAACCATTCTGATTTGCAAACCAAAAATCTGGGTGCAAAGAATAGATCGAGGCAAAGACCTACTCGCAATTCTGCGCTTGAATCTGCTGTTGTTCCTGATTCAGAAGATGGACATTCATCGGATGAGACAAGCAACGGGATGTCAGGCAGTGAACATTCTGAGTCTGCTGGGCGCGATGATGATAGTGATGGATTAAATGCTTCCGATCAGGACTGACTATATAAGTCAGTTCCCATTAAGTAAAATGATTTCCTTCATTTTTGAAATCAGTGGTTTCTGGAAATCATGTTTTTTGAATCTTTGGTATGTATAAAGGTGTAATGATGTCAACTTGAGAATTGAATTCATTTTATAACCCACAAATTCCTTCTCTCAGTGCTCTAATTCATTTGAATTCTTTTTTCATTTTTTGTCCTTCGATTAAAATGATAGGTAAGTTGCAAAATAAGTTCATGTAGTTTGGGACTAAGTTTGTGAAGTAGAAATTTTGGAAAATATCTTCTATTGTGTTTTTCAAAGTTGTCCACTGAAAAGCAATTTTTTAAAGTGAAACTAATTACTTTAGAAAGTTTTGAATTTAAAATGTTAAAATGTTACTTTTGTTATTTACAATCGTCCTTAGCTTCTCGATTTGTTATGTGGTGTGAAATCTATTATTGGCTAAATAATCATTTGATTATGGCATTTTAGGCTTTAATCAAAAGCTATTGCATTGTTTGCCGTAGTGATGGCCTTTCTGATTTCATACGGAATAGAGAGAAAATTGAAATGTCATAAATTGTGAGAAAGAACAAATGATTTATTAATTGGATTTGTAATTTTTATATTATGTTACATAATTTTCTATTAACATAATCAAAAATGTCTAAGACTTCTTTTTTTTTCACCCCCTTTGACCCCCTCTCTCTCTTTCATTGGTTGGATTTTCTTTTCTTTTTCTTTTTTTTTGTTTCCCTTGTCCTCCAATCACCCCCTACCACGTGTGTGGGGATGGTGGGAGTGGTGATTGGAGGGGGTCTCCATCACTCCTCTAATCCTAACTTAAATACTATTATTGTCGCAAGATTTTTCAGAAGCCCTCACACTTATACACTTATGACATTTTGCCATTTCCTTTTTTTTGAACGATTTGTTTGGAGAATTTATTGTGAGTACAATTTTTTTTTTTCATTTCCGAAGAGATCTGCATCAATTTTTTTTTTCTTCTTTTTTTTTCAAATATTTCTTGCCATTGTTATAATGTATTTTGACTTTCTACACAAGAAATGCAATGACACACACATCACCCACAAGCATAACAAAAGAATTAAAAAAAATAAATAAATAAACTTCTAAAACATTGTCTTATAACAATCTCTAGCAAGAGATTAAAGGATTGACTATGTTTATTAAGCACTATCTTATAAGGCCTATACTCTTATTCAAATATTACCGTTACAACCTTTCCTTCCTTAAATTCTCTCTAACCAAATCTATATATGGATTTAAAAATATAAAAAAAGAAAAATGTTTGGTGACTCGAATTTGTATGGCTCGTATGACTGAATGTGTCAAAATGACATCGTTTTACACTTAAATAACGTCATTTTAAGTATTTCGAGCCATTCGAATCATAAATTTTCAGGCCCATCTAACATTGTTGATAAAAAAAAAAAGCCTCTATCCATTTCAATATGATTTTATTCATTTGTCTTTTGCTTTTTCAAGACAAGCATATAGTTCACACCACTACAAGTCTCTTCCTCCAACTTCTAGGCGATGGAATTTTACACAACATTGTCGATATCTCATCAGAAATTTGACGTAAACCCACCACCACATCCACAAAAGCGCCCAAGACGTACTTATGGGAGCTCTTCTCATTGATATCCAAGTAGCAAATCAACAGATCTTGCATGTAGTCCCAATCAACGGTCAGATTTTGTTCTAGTCTGGATGCCACCATCTCCACCATTGATTTGTAAAATTCATCGCACGGCTCTGATGAGTACAATGCTACCGCAACGCTGTCCTGACGAGTTGGAGCATTGGAACAAGCGCTCATACGTGCTTCTTCCATGAGTGAACTTGAACCATCAGTGGTCACAAAGAAACGGTGGGACCCACGTAGGTCCCGCAATGGTGGGTCCGCCATGAACATCAACCTTGGGGAGTCAAATAAGACTCCTCTCGGGGACTCCATTGGACGATTGATCGTTGAAGTACTGTGGCCATATGATTGGTGGCGATCAATGGTGGATGATGGGGATTTATGAGTGGGTGGAGAGGTATTGTGACTTGGAGGGTGTTGAGATTTGGGTTTGAGTTTTTTGAGCTTGGGAATAGAAATATGAAGATTTATGGGCATTTTCTTTTTACCAAAAACAAAAAAATGAAATGTATTGTTGTCTCTACTTCTAAAGAGCACTGTTTGAGTGAAAATGAGAAATTGAGGATGCTTTTATACACAAATGGGTGTGAGGGTAGCGAGGAAGTCATTACGATGTTCAATAATGAATATATCTACTCCCATTAGGATAAGACTTGAAAGCTGATACCATTGGATTTGTTTTATGGCATAAAGAAGTGAAATAACAACCTTGCAACATAGCTAATTATAGGTTGTACTAGTTTTCTACTTGATGTGTTTTTTTTCAGTCTACTCAAATTAAGAAAAAAAACAGAGATTTGAACTTGTAGTTTTAAGAAACTAATTTGACTAAAAAAATATTGGAATTTTTTTTAGTAGTTCTGGAATAGTATTGTGATATGTGTACATGATATTCTTAATTAATAAGGTCGTGTAAACAGAAATGAATGTGTCAATCTTATTTCTTATCTAATCAATAAGGTTAGACAATATATCAATATTTTGAAGTTAATTGAAATCAAATTTAAGAAAAGAATCTTAGTAATAACTAATCATGCCTCTCTCTCTCTCTCTCTTTTTTTCAAATATTGGCTTTTGTTAATTAGCCTTATAAGGGTTTCAATTAATAAAATATTAAACAATTATATATTTCTCAACTACTTATATTTATAAATAATAAAAAATTACAATCATTTCATATAGGTTAATGAGTGTCTTAAAAATTACGGATAAGAAGACTAAAAAAAATTAATGATGGACAACTCTTTAATTAACTTTCATAATAGAGTACAAGTAAACCACCAACTAAAACATGAGTTTTAAATGTTCATTTGCTTTTTACAGATAATATTTAGCTGCCAAATTGCCAATGCACTCTGTGTGCTAGCAAATCTCAACATATAATGAGGAGGTTGTTCGATCAAATAAATTTCCATGGGTGCAAGGCATTTAAAATCTTGTGTTCATCCTCTTATTTAGGTTGAAATTACCGATTTAAGTTTGGAGACTCAGGTCAACAGTTTAAATTTTAAATTGTTATCGCCGCTAGTGGTTGCCGACGATTTTTTTGTAATTGCAGCTTTTCTCAAAATGACAATGACAAATTTTTTGGTGATTTTATGGTGGGTGGACGATGTTGACAAACAATGATTGATAGTAGTGTGTAGAGGTAAAAAAAGTACAAGGGTAAAATAAAAGAAATATTAATTAAAATAATGATTTGTACTTCTCACTATTATATTTCATTAAGATGTCCTTGACATTAAAACAGATCAATCACTGAACTTAAGCATATACACCTATAAAAGTGAACTTGTCACATTTTTTTATTATAAAAGTTTTAGGATGATCAATTTTTAATTATGTTTTATTTATCACATCTAATGTGACACATGCACAACATTGAACAATAAATCTTATGTGAATTTTTCTATTATTCAATCCTTAGAATTAGATTAGAATTACTGGTTTTCTTTTGATAATAAAATTTTATATGACATAATCAATTAAATGAGAGCAAAGTTTTGTCAACCAACAATAGAACTTCAATTCTTGACGGGTGCACTACTTTTCACAAGTTTAGGTATATCATTTATAGACCTCATTGAGATCGGAATTCAAGTTTTAATCTGCCAAAACAGTAAGACAATAAAAACAAATCAAACTCAACTACTTTAAACAAAGGACCAAAAAAATTAAAAAAAGGGGCAAAGTTTGATGCAATGGTAAATTTGCTTTGCTTCATTAAAAGTACAATTTGGCAGTACAATATGTTCTGAGGAAAGGTAACACGAGTGCTATTCGGTTAGCTAAAATGGGTACCAACCATGATGAGGCCTGTTATACCTACAGTGGTGTGTGTATAAATTAAATTTATAAATAAAATAAAATATGTAAAAAATAATTATAAAAATTAAATTTTAAATTAAACGCTTATAGAAATACAAATCGAGACTTGTGTTGGACACAATCTCCTTAAAGTAGATTTTGCTCTCGCTCCGGTTTCTCGAGATTTATCGGCGTCTATTTTCCATGATGCAACGACTAATACTTGATTTTACAGCACTATAAAATCAAGTTTAGCAAATCAAAACTCTGTTGTAACTCTCACTTTTTCTTCCTAAAAAATCAAATTCAGAATAGATGCAGAAACACAAAGACGAACAGAAGAAGAAAGACAAAAATCTGATGGAAAAATCTAATTCAAGAATTGCTAGAATACAAGCTTTATATAGGAGGAATGGTGGCTTTTCCGAACAGATAGAAACCTGTTTAGACAGATTGAACAGGTACAAACCTGTTTGAACAGATACAAATTTAAATTCAATAGGTATGAACCTGTTTTGAACCCTTTGAACCTGTTTGGGTGGGTTTGAACCCGTTTGGGTAAAGGAAAAATTCTAGACCAATTTATTTTGAATTTTGAAACTAAAATTAAAAATAAATAAATAAATTATAAATGTTTTTGGCCCAAAAAGATAAGTATTTGGCTCGACAAGCCCAACCCAACCTCACACCACACACCCGCGCCCAAGCCCGGTTGGCCCGCCCGCCCAGCAACCGTCGGCGTGCGCACGTGGTTTTTGTTTTGGGTCCAATGGGTCTACCACACTTTACTTTTTTTTTTTTTTTGATCGGCAAAAGAAAAGACTTTATTAATGATAAGCACATACAGAGTATGAAAAGATATATCAATAAAGAGGAGCTTAGAGCTAAAAAAGCTCTAACCTCCTAGTTGGTGAGAGACCAACGAAGAGAAATAAAAACCAGAAGGAAACAAAAAGAATGTAACTGAAGAGCCCATTCTCACAAAAATGCATAACAGGACAAGCAGAGCACATAATGCAGAAACTTCACAAGCCAACTTCAGGAAAACCAATGTAACTCCAAGCCAACTTCAGACCATACACCAAAGCACATAATGCAGAAACTTCACAACAGAGCAGACAAATCAGCCTTTCCAAAAACTCCCCTATGACACACCATTCCACATCCAGCAGTAGGCAAAAAGACCATAATACATTCTCTTTACAGCAGCATAATCTGAAGTTGAGAAATACAACCCATACAGCTTTCCTAAGTTACAGCAGCTCCACTATCTCTATTCACCAGCACCAAACCACATACAACCCATCATTAGCATCAGCTACAGAAGTTGATGCTCACCATTGTTTTCCAATTTAACATCTAACATAGCAGAATCAGCAGCAACCAGAGCAAAGCAGCAGTCCAGAACAAGCAGACTAGCACAGTAGAGCAGTAACACAAGGCCAACACAGATCCACACTAGATCAGCCACAATTCCTGAGGCAAAATAAGACCTGAAGTGTTGCAAAATAAGACCTGATGTGCTATTGACAGATAAAGCATTGCAGCTTTCCTCCCAAGCAAAATCTAATTTGCACCAAATTATACATAAAATCAGTGATAGAAAATTGGAAATCCTTTGAGGTAGATTTCAGCCAAATTGCAATCCTAACAGTGGTAACTTCATGTAACTCTTCCAAGTTTGGTTGGATATCTTGAAAAAGGCATTCATTCCTGTTCTTCCATATGGACCAAAGAGCTACCATAGGGATTGCATTCTAGATTCTGTTTTCAGCTTTGGTGAAGTTATTCCCAGCCCACCATTGCTATAGCCCTTCAACAGATCTAGGTGTCACCCAATGAGTTCCCCACCATTGCAGAAGACCTGCCCACACTCTCCATACCATAGAACAAAAGATAAATAATTATTCTACTGTTTCTTGGGCTTCCTTGCAGAAAATACATATAGTTTCAGCACTGGCCTTCAGCACTCCTATTCTGTGCAAAAAAACAGAGGTTTTTACCTTATGTTTCCAAGTAAGCCATCCAAAAAATTAGACTTTAGAAGGGAGGTACTTAACCCACACCAATCTGGTAGAACTTTTTAATTCACCATGCTGTAAATCAGTTTGTTTATATAGGGTTGAGACAAAGGACTGCCCTGGTTTAGTTGCTAACCAAACTGCCTTGTCCAAAGCATGCAAGTTCAAATTCAACAGAAGATTTACTCTGATAGATTGATTAAAAGTGTTAAGCTCATCTTGTTCCCATTGAAATAAAGCCCTCCTAAAACTAAACACCCAATTATCAGAGTTTCCTCTTTTGACAGCATAGGCCCTAAAAGACCCATCCTTATCATTAGATAATCTGAACAGTCTAGGAAATAACTCTTTAAGGCTAACTGTTCCAATCCAGCAGTCATGCCAGAAGCATACTCTACACCCATTTCCCACTTTAATCTGAAGATTAGTTACATAAAATTGCAGGAGGTTGGTTCTTTGGATTGCTACTACCAAAATATCTCCCCAAATCTTGGAACATCTGCTGGCTGCTTGAGGATCTGGGAGCCATTTCCCACCTTCAACTTTGTATTTGCTACAAATCACCTTCTTCCACAAAGCTGTTTCCTCATTGGCAAACCGCCACTACCACTTGATTAATAAACATACATTCATGTCTCTAATTCTTCTAATACCCAGCCTTCCTTGGTTGATACTTTTTGTTACCTCTTCCCATTTCACTAAATGAACTTTTCTCTTTAGCTCAGAGCCACTCCATAGGAATGAGGCTTGTAATTGTTCAATTTCTTTTGCTATCCCTTCAGGTATCTTGAATAGAGAGAGGTAATACACTGGCAGGCTTGATAACACTCCCTTAATCAGAGTTAGTCTACATGCATAGAAGAGAAATCGCCTCTTCCAACCAGCAAGTCTAAGCTTTATCTTCTCAATGACAGGTTTCCAACTCAGTTTCCTATGAGGGCAAGCACCCAGTGGCAAGCCAAGGTACTTCAGTGGCATTGACTTAGATTTGCAATTTAGCATGGAAGCAAACTCACTGAGCACAGATGCAGAGATACCAAAACCACAAACCATACTTTTGTGGTAGTTTATCTTAAGCCCGGATGCAATTTCAAAACACCTCAAGATCCTTTTTAAATTCAGCACTTTTGAGCATTCAGCATCACAGAATAATAAGGAGTCATCTGCAAATTGAAGATGAGAAACTACTATTTCATTAGCTCCAAATACCACTCCATTCAGTAACCCCAACTCCCTAGTTCTTATAAGTAATATGTTCAACCCTTCTGCAGCTAGGTTAATTAGGAAAGGAGATAATGGATCCCTTTATCTGAGGCCTTTTTGGGGACTAAACTCCTTAGTTGGTGAACCATTCACAAGTATTGAAATTCGAGCTGAGGAGAGACATTCTTTCATCCAAGAAATCCATTTTGATTCAAAGCCAAAGCTAGATGGCATTGAGAACAAGAATTTCCAGTTGAAGGAGTCATAAGCCTTCTCAAAATCAATTTTGAACAACAACCCTCTTTTCTTGGTTTTTTTCCACCCATCCACAATTTCATTTGCAATCAATACTCCGTCAAGTATGTTTCTTCCTCCTAGGAATGCAGATTGAGCTTCACCAATTACAGCTGGCATTACCCTTTTTTAGTCTACTTGCAAGAACCTTGGTGAGTATTTTGTAAGCTGACCCAATAAGGCTGATTGGCCTATATTCATTTAGATTAGTTGCATTCACTTTCTTTGGAATAAGTGTGATGAAAGAGCTATTCAACCCATTAGCCAAGCTGCCCCTCTCATGGAAATCTGACATAAAGAGCATCACATCATCTTTGAGCACCTCCCAGTGTTTCTAAAAAAAAATTAAGTTGAAACCATTTGGACCTGGAGCTTTATTGCCATTACAATGTTTGATAGCTTCCCAAACCTCCTCTGCTGAAAATTCTGACTCTAACATATGAAATGAATCACTGTGCCTGACATTCTTGAAATCACCTCCTATCACAGGTCTATGCCTCAATTCTTCTGAAAACTGCTTTCTAAAGTGTGACCACACCTCATCCTTGACCGCGATTGGTTCCTCAATCACCCTATCACCAACAATAATGGAGTTGAGGGCATTTCTATTTTTTCTACTAGTAGCCATGACATGAAAAAACCTTGTGTTCCTGTCCCCTTTCATATTCCAATCTAACCTTGACTTTTGCAACCATGCCCATTCCATCATCCTACTCAATCGCCACATTTCATTCCTTACCTCTCTTTTTTGTTTGAATTCAGCATCCTCCAGAGGTCTTAGTTTTGCTCTTAGATCTAAACTATTGAGCTGATCTTATGTGGCTTTTAGTTGAGTGGCAATATTGCCATATACCTCCCTATTCCACTGTTTTAATGCCATCTTTAGGGCCTGGATTTTTCTTTGCAAAATGTACCCATCATTCCCTTGGAACTGTAAATCTTTCCAGGTATTCTCCACAAAAGGTGCATAATTTGGGTGTAAGATCCAAGCATTCAAGAATTTGAAGGGTTTGGGACCCCGATTCCTCTCATTTTCCATGAGTACTATAGGGCAATGATTTGAGACCAACTTGGACAGTTCCCACAGTTTGAATTGTATCTCTCAATCCACTCTGGGCTAAGTAGAAATCTATCAATTCTACTCCATTTGTTTCCATCATGGGCATTGCACCAGGTGAATTTTCTCCCTATTATTTGCATATCAGCCACCTCACATCTATCTATGAATTCTTTAAACTCTTTCATACCCCTATCCCTCCTTGAATTTCCTATTCTTTCCCTCAAGTTTGTGATCTCATTGAAGTCACCTCCACGACACCATGGTTTTGGAAAAAAAGGTCTTCAAATTTAAAAGGGACTCCCATAATTTCCTTCTCCTCATAAGATCATTTGGAGTATAGACATTTAAAATAACACAATTAAAGGAGTGCAGAATGGTACTTGAGAGCAGAATGAAATTTATGTTACTACAACACTCTGAAAGTTGAAAAACATCAGGATCCCATATGCATACCAAACCACCTGCCACACCCATTGTATCCACAACCATGGATTCCATCTTTTCTCTTGGCCACAAACTTCTAATCACCTAGTTGGACATGCTTGACCTTTTTGTTTCTTGAATCAAAGCCATATCAATTCTCTTATCAAATAGCAGGTTCTTGATCCTCTCCTCTTTTCAGGTCTTCCCAACCCTCTAATATTCCAGCTTAATAACTTCATAATGAAACATTTTCAGCTCTGCCATCTCCCAAATATTACTGATTGCAGGGTAGCATCAGTCTCCCTCCTAACCTCTCATTGTCCTTCTCTTCCAATTGTACAAATTTCTTAATAACTTTTGCATCCGGCCCTTTGAAGTTAATCCCCAGACTTTTCCCTAGAAATAATGTTGCTTGAGCCTCATTTAATTTATTTGCTTCACCGTATCCCAAGCTAAGGTATATAAACCCATTCAAAACCTTAAGCTTTTCCAATGTGGGACAATCACCTTTCACAAATGTATAAGAAACCCACCTAAATCTATTCCACGAACCCGAAAATGCGCATTGAATTCACATTCATCCGGAAATAGTTTTGAGCAACCAAATACACGGTTTTATTCACTACGCGACATTAAACATGAACCCAATGAAAAATGCTAAAAACAATGCTTGGGTCCCACATTAATTAATGCTCAAAGTTAGCAAAAAATAAGAGGTTTTTCCAAAGCCTCCATAGCCATTTTCCAACAATCCCTCACATGAATGGGATTCACGATAACAGACATACAACAAGATGTAGACAAAGAAAGAATACATTAAGAAGATACACTACATCGAGATAGGTAGCTTTTGGCTTTGAACCTCCTCTAGTGAAAGCCTATCGAACTTACTGGCTAACCAATGGACACGATGCCTTGAACTATTCAGCTGTTTGTGTAAGCCAAGTCAATAGACTACACATAGTGTATCTGCAGACACAGTTTGGTTCTTACGGTTGTGTTCATTTTGGCTCTGAACAACGTCTGGTAATTCATGAGTGCTCTAGCGAATTTAGCATTCTCAATTCTCACAGAACTGGCCCAGTTCACACTCATGTAGGTGATTTCTTATTAAGAGTATCCTGCAATACCCCACTTGGATGTCCAAGCTATAAGAATCATTAAAAGCAAAGCTTATCCTACTAATGCTACAGGTATCACTCTTCTTATCATAGAAATGGGTAGGAGTAAACCTCCTTAGTGATACGTGTAGTCATCCATAATTTGGTTATCCCTTTAAACCTAGATATTGGGATCTCCAGTCAACTAGGTTGGGTTACCATTATGACGACTTTTAAGTAATAGGCTTTAATTCTATTCCCCTCGATAAATGGTACACTTGCTCTCTAGCTAGCCCTTTACTCAATCGATCTACAATATTCTCCTTTGACTTTACATATTCTATGGAAATTATTCCATGTGAGAGCAAATGCCTAACGATATTATGTCTTCGACGAAGTTGTCGAGACTTACCGTTATACATATGATTTTGTGCCCGTCTTATTGCTGCTTCACTATCATAGTGAATGCATATAGCTAGCACAGGTTTAGGTCACATTGGAATGTCTTCTAAGAAACTACGAAGCCATTTTGCTTCTTCTCCTATTTTATCTAATGCGATAAACTCATATTCTATTGTCGACCTTGCTATGCATGTCTGCTTGGAGGATTTTCAAGAGACTGCAACACCTTCCAGGGAAAAACGTATCCACTAATGGATTTTGAGTCTTTAGTATCTGATATCTAATTTGTATCGCTATACCCGTCGAGTGCTGCTAGATATTTGGTATAATGCAAGCCATAACGCTGGGTATGTCTTAGATACCTAAGTACCCTAATTATCGCTTTCTAATGATCGGACCCTCGATTACTTGTGTACCTACTCAATTTACTTATGGCATAGGCTATATCTGGCGTAATGCAATTCATTAAGTACATGTAGCTTCCGATTATCCGAGAGTACTCTAATTCTGATATGCTTGCACTTGGATTTTTTGACAAATAAATACTAATGTCAACATGTGTTTTAGCAGGATGGTCGTCATGCTTTCCAAATTTTTTCAGAATCTTCTCAACATAGTGAGATTGAGATAAAGCATATCCTTTAGATGTTCTATTAATTTTTATTCCTAGAATTACATCTGCTACTTCTAGATCTTTCATGTCAAACCTTTTATTCTATATTTTCTTTGTGGATTTAATCACGTCATTATTGCTTCCAATAATGAGCATGTCATCTACATAAAGACAAACTATGGCATAGCCTTTGTCTGTGCTTTTAACATAGACGCATTTGTACATTCGTTTATCCTAAAATCATTCGAAAGCATAGCGTGATCAAAATTTTCATGCCATTATTTTGGAGCTTGTTTTAATCTATAAAGGGATTTGACAAGTTTACAAACCTTTTTCTCTTGGCTGGGAACTTGAAACCCTTCCGGTTGTTCCATATAGATTTCTTCATCTAACTCGCCATTCAAAAAAACTATTTTAACGTCCATTTGATGTATTTCCAGATTATACAAAGCTGCAATCGCAATCAACATGTGAATAGAAGTTATTCTTGCCACTGGTGAATATGTGTCAAAATAATCAAGGTCTTCCTTCTGCCTGTATCCTTTAACAACAAGCCTAGCCTTGTATTTATCTATTGAATCATCTGCTTTCATTTTCTCTTGAATATCTACTTATATCTAAGAGGTTTACACCTTAGTGGAAGATCTACTAGTTCCCAAGTATGATTTTGCAGTATTGATTCAACTATTCACAGCCTCTCTCCACAATGGAGCTTTAGGACTTGACATTGCTTCCTTGAAGTTTTGAGGCTCATTTTCTAACAGGTATGTCAGAAAATCTGGACCAAATGATTTAGAGATCCTATCCCTTTTACTATGTTTAGGTTCATCTCCTTCATTATCATTTTGGTTTTTACTGCTACCCATAGCAGTATCAAAAGTTCTTTTATTTGAACTTGTCTCTTCAGTTTCCTTACTAGGAAAAATGTGTTCAAAAAATGACACATTGTAGACACCCCATTTTTGACTGCCCTTAAGACTTGGACGCCACTGATGGCTTACTTGATGGTGCATGTTATCTTGTGCAAACGGTTCGATTTCTTCGGCAAGGAGAGCGGCAAATACCAACCTCACACCCATTTTTGGACCAAAACTATTTTGACCAAAAAGATTTTAGACCTTAAACCCTCTCTTTCAAAATATTTTTGAAATTTTGTTAAATGTTGTGCTTTTCGGTAAACCGAGCAAGGACAAAGTGGAAATGAATTAAAGAGAGGTGAACTCATTGAAAAATATTTCAACACACCTTATTTAGGGGTTTGGGGTTGAAAAAAAGAGGAGAGGAGGGAAGAAAACTAGATGAGGAGAAGTTAGGAGTGAATCCGGGTAGGATCGAAACTAAGTAGTCTTCACTAAAAGAGGCATAACTTCTTGCAAACTTGGAATTTTGATGTGAGGCTTCCACCATTGGAAATAAGACTTCTAGGGCTTCAATTTAGGCTCAAGAATGACCTACAAAGGAGTCCAGATGAATGAGATATTCCCATTTGAAGTTGGGCCCAAAGAGCAGATTTTTCTGGCCAACCAGAGGGGGAGGTTGCTGGTCATGAATGGGATTTTCTGGCCATGTGCTGGCCATGAATGGCCTATGCCAACCACCTGCCGTCCAAGAGTGACCCTTGCCGGCCAACAATGGACATGTGCCGGCCATCAGTGATGGCTTGCCAGCCATTGATGCAAAAAGGCAGTTTTTGTGTTCCAGTTGTTCCAGCTGTCCCTTTTGGGATATTTTCGACCTGAGCTTGCATTCTTCTATATATAGAGAGCCATCTCTGTTGTTTTTGAGGTTAGAACATTTGAGGAAGAAAAATTTTGGGAGCCTCTCTCTCTACATTTCTCTCTCTCTTGAACCTTTGTGCATAAGTGCATACAAGTGTAGATACACTTCTCCTTTGCCTAGACATCCCTGACCAAAGTTGGTTATCTTTGAGCTGAGGTTCTAGAAGGTCTTCTTGGAGCTCTTGAAGGTGATTTTTCTTGGTTTTGTTGCCTAAAATTGTGTTGTGCTTCAAGAGGTATAACTCTCTCTCTTTAAGCTTGTATTTCATACTTGCTTTGCCATCTTTTTCCACCATTTCAAGGCTGGTTTTGGCATGTAAAAAGTTCTGTTTTTCAGTCCTAAAAGTGCTG